TATCTAATAATTACTGTATATTAATATTTGCTTATGCGATCTAATTTAAATAAAATATCGATGATCCTTTTTTAGATCGTGACATTTCTCCCTACTTTAATATATTCGTTTTACAAATTTATACCAAGCTTCAGAAATCTTCGGCCTTCATTCTTGCCATTATAGTTATATTGATACTCTTTGTACGATAGATTTGAGCAGGTCCATAGGCTCCGAACAGCCAAAATGCTCTTGTTGTGGCCGTGAAGTAGTGTTTTGTGATCACCTTTCAGTAAAAGGTCTGCTGCTTAGGATCTGTTTTGGTCAGCATTTTGCTTAGGTAAAAAGCGTGGATTAAACTTTCAGTATGGTTTTTGAGTTTAACATTCTTAAGCATTTGCTGATATGTCTTCATTACTTTGTCATCTAGGTTTTTAGTAGGGTGGTATGATGGGGGCGTAACAACTACATTTTGCAAGGTGGTTGACAGTAGGTTACTGATTATTTCATTAAGAGGGTCCATTTGTTTCAGGTTGGGATTTTTTTTTTTTTGATTGGTTAATTTGTTTGTCATTTGCTTTTGTCATTTGCTGCCTGATGGTTTCTTCCTTTTGCTTCCTGGGTTCAGTTATTTTATATATTTACTAGTTTTTTTTTTTTTTTTTTTTTTCAATAGTTTAGCCGAGATTGGGGAAGTATTCTTTGTTTTGCTTCTTTTGTTGTTTCGTTGTTTCTATCGGTACTAACTTTCTTTACTTTTTTTTTTTTTAATTAAAAATTTATTTATTCAGTTTGAGCTTCTTTAGTGGGCCTTTACTTTTTTTCTTTCTCTTCTTAAACACCTACATCCCCTTTGATTGCTATCTCAAATGGCTTCGAGCTTCGTGGTACTCTTTTAGTTCTGCTTTATTGATAGGAGATTTTACAACTTGTCCATCCAAAGTTCTTATTTTATAGGACCCATTGACTAAAACCTTGTGCACAAAAAATGAGCTTTTACATTTTTGGTTTAGCTTATGGCTTCTAGACATTAAATGGGTAGCATCAAATAACAATACTTTGGTGCCAATGCGGAACTCTGGTATAACCTTGATGTGTTGATTATAGTATGCCTTCTGTTTCAGTTGTGCAGATCGCACTTGTTTCACTGCTTTGTTTCACTGGGTTGGTACCTGGTTCAGTAAATTAAACGTTCTTTGAATGATTATTCCATTTAAGATATCAGGGGTATTACTGAGGTGTAGAGGCAATCGAGCCTCTCTTCCGTAAACTAAATAAAATGGCGTCATTTTTGTAGAACTTTGTTTTGTTGTACGATATGCAAAAAGTATTGGTTAGATAAACTGGTCCCAGTCAGTGATGTTTTGAATTGTCTTTGTTATTGACTCACATAATGTTTTATTGTACCATTCAACAAGACTGTTACTTTGTGAATGATAGGAGGTCGACAGTTAATGTTTAATTTGGAACTTTTTTAATAATGCTTCAATTAATTCGTTCCTAAAATGTGTGCCTCGATCAGATAACAGGTACATAGGGCAACCATGCCTGCATATAATTTTTTCATAAACAAATTTGGCAACTGCAATGGCATTATTTTTCTCAATTGCTCTTGCCTCGGGCCATTTTGACATATAGTCAGTGGCAATAACTATATATCTCTTGTTTCTAGGGATGATAGGTAGAGGTCCCATGATGTCAATTCCAACATAGTAAAATAGTGAGTCTACTGGAATCAGTGGAGGGGTTCTTGAAGCTTGTTTTTCTCACTTCATTGACATAAGTCATATGTACAAACATATTCACAGATGTTTTCAAACATCTGGGGCCAAAAATAGTACCTTCTTATTTTATTGAACATAGCTGCTTGCCCTATGTGACCTCCAGTTGGATGGTTGTGGCAAGAAATAGGATGGGCTTTATCTCAAACATTTGTATCACCTTCAGCCAATTACCCTTTTCATGCCTATCTCTCTTATATAATGCATTCTCTTTCACTTTAAAGAAGCTTGATTTGGACTTTATTCTTGCTTGTTCTTGTTTATCCAGTCCGGGTGGTAGGTGTTGGTGGGTTATGAAATGTTTTAGGTGTTGATAATAGGTGGAATCCATGTTGTGGACTAGACTGATTCAACTTTGAACTAAGTATAATTATTTGGTATAGTTGTTTGTATTTTTTTTGAGATTTGATTAACTTATCTTTGGGTTTTATTATAGTGCCAGAATACCAGTTATCTGGTCTGGATTGGGTCTGGATTTGAGTATTGAAGATTTTTTTTTTTTTTTTCACTAATTTTTAACTGTTTAATTTGTACTTAGATACATGAGAGAGCATCAGCATTCGAATGCTTTCGTCCTGGTCGGTGTTTGATAGTATAGTTATATGGTTGTAAATGTAAGATCCAACGGGCATGCCTTCTTTTCAATTCGACAATTCCAACTACTTCAGAGCTGAGTGATCAGTTACAACTGTAAATGGCTTATAGCCAAGGTAATGATGAAAATATTCAATCACCCAGATTACAGTCAGGCATTCTAGTTCGGTTGTAGAGTAGTTTCTTTCAGGTTTAGAAAGACTTCGGGATGCATAAGCAACTACATATTCTTTATGATCATCCCCAACTTGGGCCAAGACAGCATTTAACTCTACATCAGATGCGTCAGTGTGTAAAAAGAACCTTTTGTCGAAGTCAGAGTAACATAGTATAGGGGTGGAAATTAGATGTTGTTTAAGGGTATCGAATGCTAGTTGTTGTTAGGTAGTCCAGTTATAGAAGGTGTTTTTTTTTAATAGGTGGTGTAATGGTTTTGCGATTGTTGCAAAGTTTTTAATAAATTTATGATAATAAGATGATAACCCTAAAAAACCCTGTAATTGCCATATGTTTTTGGGTACTGGGAAATTTTTGACTTTTTTTGTTTTTGTCCCATCTAGCCGTATACCATCCTTACCGATAATGTGACCCAAAAATGCAAGTTTTGAAGAAAAAACTGGCATTTTTCAAAATTTAACTTAAGACCTGCATCCCTAATTTTTTTAAATACTTGGCTCAAGTGGTTAATATGTTCGAGTAAGGTATGAGAATAGATATTAATGTCGTTGAGGTATACTGCGACGAATTTACCAGTAAATTCATATATAATTTTGTTCATCAGTCTTTAAAACGTTGCAGGGGTGTTACAAAGACCAAATGACATAACCGTAAACTTAAACATTCTGAATTTGGTCACGAACGCTGTTTTTTCACAGTCTTCATCACTTATTTGAACCTGCCAGTAGCTACTAGCAAGGTCGAGGTTACTAAACCATTGAGCATCATCAAATGCTTCTAAGAGGTCATCGATGTAAGAGATAGAATATGCATTCTTTTTTGTTACCTTGTTTAACTATCGATAGTCAACACACATCCTTAATTTGTTATTTTTTTTGGGGACTAACACTATAGGAGATGCCAAAGGGCTAAATGATTCTCTAATCAATCCCTTCTCCTTTAGTTTATTTAACTTTTCACGCACAAATTTCTGTTCACTAGGGGCCAAATAATAAGGTTCTTGTTTAATTGGTTTGATGTCATCAGTCTTGATCATATGCTTCACAAGGTTGGTTTGTTCAAGTTCTTCTAACCCATTTGCGAATAAGTCCTCATTTGCTTTAAACAATTGCTTCACATTTACTTTATACTATGCTTCTATATTTATTACCATCCACTATTCTAACCAATTGGTCTTTCACAGGTGGTTTTTCATCAACAGAGACCTTCTTTTCAGTTGGGACTTCTTCCATTACAGCTAGACAGACTGCCGGGCTTTCTTCTTCAATGTTTTCATCATAAATCCTTCCTTTCAACTCATTTTTCGATACTTCATCAACTGAAATACTATCTGTAGAGTAACTTTCAACTTCTTCTAAATCTTTACTTTTATACTCAAATTCCTCAAATAGATCATCATCATCATTTTTGTCACCATCGTGGTCACCTGACCTCATGTCCTCGTTCACATACTCCTTCTGTTTTCCCTTGTCTGTATGCATTATGGGTACTTCAAACCTCTTATCTAAATACCTAATTACTAGTTTTTGTTTATTTAAATCTACCATCGCTCGAGCTTTTTGGAACCAGTCAGTTCCTAGTAGCAAATTCTTATCAACAGACTTCAATACTTGTAGGTAGGTGGGTATGTTGATGCCATTTACATTGATATTCACTTTAGCTGTACTCCTCAACGTATGTTCTCTGGCACCTGTTGGTGTTACTACCACTGTTTTTGACTCCTTCTCTATACTAATCCCAAGTCGGTCTGCCAATCATTTTGTTATGATACTAAGGCACACCAGTGTCTAATACAGCTACTACAGGCTCATCGGTGACGTACATGTGACACTTTGCTGAGGTTGTTCATTGTTGAGGTTGGGGGTCTACAAGGTTTGCTTCCTTAGTATGGGGTGGTCTTCTGAGGGCTTTTGCCAGGTTCCTTTTTTGGTTGGGATATTGTAGAAGTTGTCCAAACATTGCATTAGACTTTGCTGCTAAGAGGTCATTGGCAATGTTGTATAGTTCAATTTTATCAATGATGGATGGTCCTCGTTTACGACAGGGGTTGGTAGGACCTTCAGGGGGGGCAGGGGCCACTTCATTCATTATTTTATTGCTTTGGGATGAGGGTCCTGCAATAACTACCATGGGTGGGGGGAGTGTGATACTTTTCGCTTTTTTCCTTGAGTCTCCCAACTATTTTCAGAGTTTTTAGGTGATCGACCTCTTCTTTTTACTTCATATTTCTGGTGGATGTCTCCAATGTTGTACATTTCTTCTTCTTATACTATATCATCATCATCTTCACCCATGTTACAATAGTTTACTCTTTTAGACATAACTTGGTTAGGACATATATCCTTTTGTGTTGCAAAGTTCTTGGTGAAGGTGCAAAATCAAGCAACGTGCTCTTTTTGCTCACATTTATAACACATAATATCGGGGTTTCATGGTCAGTGATTTTCTTGATTAGTTTGGTCATACTTTGTTCAACTCCATTTTGTTGATTGTGCTATCAAGTTTGCCATATTGGCATAATTTATTGTTAACTCATTCATTTTTTTTACCAAGTTTTCCATATCGTTCTCAATTTTTAAAGGTGCTTGGTGTACTGCTGCTTGTTGTCCATAGTAGTCACCTGCTTCCACCTTTCGCGCATACACGATAGCATTATCCAATGTTTTTGGGGCCATCATAGTAATAAAGGTTGCTATTTTGCCACTTAAACCACCAAGAAACATGTGCACAACATATGCAGAGGGGAGTTTCTTACTGAATTAACTCTACGCAAGAGTCTTTTAAATTTCGTAGCATAAGAGTCGACTTTCTCTCCTGGTTTCTGTATGAGGGCATTCAATTCTATTTGCCAATGGTGGTGCTGTTCAGGTGTTGCAAAAAACATAGATAACAGATGGAAGAAGCTCTCAGTTGGGTGACTTTCCTCATTCCAATACTTAATTTTTCCCTTATTTTCGCAGTACCAATCTGCTGCTAGATCACTAAGATAACCCACAACAATTGTAATCCTTCTTTTTTTGCTCCAATTGTTGGTTTCAGCAGCTTGTTCAAATGACTCTAATTATTCTATGGAGTCTTCGTTTTCCCTTCCATTGAATTTAGGGATGGTTATAAGGTTTAGTTCCTTTTTTCCTGTTGCACCTGCATTGATTATCCTAGTTGTTGTGTCTTCAAACGTTTTGGTAAACTTATCGAGCAGTAGCTGTAGCTTGGCTGAATCCATTTTGGTGGCTTCTTCTGTTGATTGTGGATTTGGTTCTACTTCCATGAGTTTTGGAGACAAGGCTGTTCTATTAAGTCCTGGTTTGCTAAAATTGAAAGTGCTTTTCCCGTCTCTGTTGCTTCCTTGGTTCGTTGGTTGATCCACTTTTACTTTCTTTTTACCGTTTATTTCTTATATAGTTTTTGGTTTTTTTTTTTGAGTTATTAGGCCGTGACGTTGAAGTGGGAGGGCCTTGTAGAGGTACAATATTATTGTTGTCACGTGGTTTATTCGTGGGTGGGTTCGATTAGCACTTCACGGTTTCTTCACTAGTCCAGGGACGAAATCAGCTTTTTTTTTTTTTTTTTTTTTTTTTGATTATTTCCAGGTATATATTTTTTTTTTTTTTGTAAAAAAATTTCTCTATTGTTCAAGTTCTCTCTTTTTATATGTGCCCTAGTGTTGGTTTACAGTTGCTATGACGATATTTATTATGCGCTAATTTATTATAACTTAACTTTAATAATGTTTATTGTTATATTTTTTTTTTTTTGTATTTAATAGGAAGTGATGTTTATATTGTTATATCCTCTTGTTTTTAACACAATGAGCTTATTTTTCTGATCTTATAGTTCTATTGTTCTTAAACTTTAAGCTTAAGTTTATCTGTTGATCATTATGACTATATTATTAGAAGCTTTACTTTTCTGGTCTTAAGGTTGCTTTGGCTTTTTGAATTTTTCCAATATTCCACTTTTTACCAGTTTTAAAGTTGCTTTTACTTTTAAATTTTTCTGATATTTCTCTGTTATTGGTTTTAAGATTGCTTTTACTTTTGAGTTTTTCTGATGTTCCTTTCATATTACGTAATGGGTACGTATGTACAACGAATTCTTGGACCAATTGAGCTGAAAAGTATTTTATTATTTTTTTTTTGTATTGTGTTTGTGGGTTTTATTGTATTTTCCTATACTAAAAAAATTTTTTTTTTTCACTCTTATGGACACAATATTCTTGTAATCAAAAAAATTTTCTTTTATAATCCCTGCCTTTTTTTGACGATTGTGATTTCCTTTGGCTAAAGCATTACCAATAACGATTCTAGTATCACCACTAGTTTCTTGCTTCTTTAGTAAGTATGTCTGCTTGGTTAGTTTCTTTGTTTTATGTTTAACCTTTCTTCTAATTTAACTTTTTCTCTTTTTTGAATTAGGGGGGTCAGATGATCTTACAGTTACCACCAATTGTTGTATTACAGAAATTGTCAACTCTAAAACTCCCTATTCATAGGGTAGATGAACGTCTTTCATGTAACGTCAGATGAATTAGTACTCAAAAGAGACGTAGGATTTGGGCGAGTACTAAGGATAAGTGTATCTTTATTTACTATACTGCGAGACCTGCGAGACTTTTTTTTCTTATATTACCAACACATTACTTATATACTTTTCTCTATATGCTAATTACACTAATTATGCTATCTATGCTA